GGGGGGGGGGGGGTTCACTTCCAATTTCTTTTGTGGGAGTGGTATGGAATGACCCAATAGAAATTAAGTTGAAATGTAAATACGGTTGTTTTTTAGTTGGTCCTCTGAGGGTTGATCAAAGAGTACCTGAAACTGAGGCGAATATTGAGGATGTTTGGGATGTGAAAGGTTGGGTTGAGAAAGGAGGGGCCTGGAGACCAACAAAATGCCAGGCTGTTAGTAAGGTATGTGAAGAAATAGCTGACAACCATGTCAATATACAGTATAATACTTTATGTCAAACACTGTACAATCTTACTACAGAATAGAAGGCCCTCTATACCCCTGCGCACGAAAAAATCACAAAATACTTGCATACAATTTGGTCGAAATATAAACAATTATTCACGGATTAATATATAAGTGTCGTACATCATCAAGTACTTGCTATTCCAGTGCAGAAATGTTTGAGACTCAAGTCTTGGTCACAAGACAGTTTCCTATTCAATCCTAAGAAAACTTTTCATGCAAAATGAATGACTCACAAGTCATGTTTATTACCATCCTTCATTCACAGATCATGGTTAAATCAAAACTTTCTTTTACATATAATAAATTAATAAAATCATCAATCACATACTTTCACAGCTAAATAAAATAACCGTTAAAATGTGTGAAAATCTATTAAAATTGAGACATTTTAACAACATTTAGTTCTCAAAACCTAAAATACAATGCATTTTTTGCAAGCACATTTTGAAGTTATGAATTTTGCTTACAGGCAATATACCTCGCTAATTAATACACATTCAACTATATTTAATTTCAATTTTAGGTTGCAATTATAATCCCGTATCGAAAACGTGAGCAACAGCTAAAGATATTTCTACGTCATATGCATCCAATGCTTAAACGTCAATTGTTAGACTACAGGATTATGGTTATTGAACAGGTATTTCAATGCACATCATTTAGAAACACTGTCAAACCATGGGCAGATTTACTGTTGGGGGTGGGGGGTTAGGGGGGTTGACCCACCCCCCTAGAATCTCTCTAACCCCTCTTATAAAGTGTTCAACCCCACCAAAATTTCGCCTCACCCCTCCTATTTTGTCATTTTGTATGACAATCTTTCACCTTAACGCTCAGTGCTGCCGCTTGCACCCCACTAGAAATTTTTCCTCCCCTCCTTTGTGTCAAACTGAGGAAGCTTTTGTTAGTAGGGATGTAACAGTATCTGAAAAATATACGGAGAATTTCGATGTTTCGAGCAAAGCCCCTTCAGGGGTTGATGAAGTTTGTGGGGAAACACCTATATTTCAAATCTTAACCCAATAATAATAACCTTACAAAAAAGAGTAGTCCGAATTATTACCTTTTCTAAATTTGACGATCATTCAAGTCCTTTATTTAAATATCTTAATATTTTGAAGCTCATTGATCTTGTTTTTCTAAACAACACTTTATTCATGTATGATTATCATAACGGGAATCTTCCTGCTACATTTAATAACATATTCAAACAGGTCACATTAGTACATAATTATAATACCAGATTGGCTTCTAGAAATACATATTATATTGACAACATAAGAACTAACTATGGCAAATTCAGTCTTCGATTTCAGGGTCCTAAAGCATGGAATGATATTGATGATAAATATAAAACTCTTAGCAAATCATCTTTTAAGAATAAAATTGCGGAAAATATGATTTTCATTTACTAGCGCTGCCACAAGTATTCATGAATATATACATTTATAATTATACAAAATGATGTAAAACTCATTATTTCATTTCTTTTATAAAAGGTCACTAGACTGGTTTAGTCTTCACTATTTCTGGTGACCTGTGCCATAATGTTTATATATTTAAAAAAAATCATGTAATGTTATTTTACTTGGTGGTGCAAAATAAAATTGTTGTTGTTGTTGTTGTTGTTGTTGTTGTTGTTGTTGTTGTTGTTGTTGTTGTTGTTGTTGTTGTTGTTGTTGTTGTTGTTGTTGTTGTTGTTGTTGTTGTTGTTGTTAGCAGTGGGTTACTGCCAAATTATTTTCAATTGGCTTTTGTCCTTACACATTTGCACCACTGTTACTGAGCACTGTGTATTAAATATTTAAGGGCCTTCTTCAAGGCTCTTTGCTCGAAACGTCGAAATTTTCCTTATATTTTCAGGTAGTCGCATGCCTACCAATGAAAGCTTGTTCATATTATTGCCACTACCTACACTGGCACAGACAGTTCATGATTATTTCAAACTGAGTGGATCTTAACAATTTCGTTTGTTCATTTTCAGGCTGGCGAGACCCCCTTCAACCGAGCTATGTTGTTCAACATTGGGTACAAGGAGGCACTAGCTTTTCATGATTTTAAGTGTTTTGTATTTCACGATGTTGACCTCATGCCAGAAAACGACAAGAATTATTATGGTTGCCCAACCGCACCGAGACATTTGTCTGTGGCTATTGATAAATTCCAGTACAGGTAAGTCGGAATTCTTACACATTGGTGTGCATTGGATAACAGAGTTGGCATGGACACAGGACTGGACTATTGTAGATTTGCAAAACTTCGGTTGGTAGAAATGCAACTAGCGTGGGGCGGTTTCTACAAAAAAACGAAAACCAACCAAAAAAAAACCCGAAAAACCCAAGTGAACCGGTTTTTTATAAAAATACGTTCGAAACTACGGTAAAAAAAGACACAGCACGCTACTCAGTACTCGCGCAAGATATTAAACGATTTTGAAGACATTATCAAATTTCAAACAAAATCTCTTTAGTTTGTCGTGTGTAAATGCCAAAACTTGATTCATTTGCAACAAACTCGTATAAGTATGGTTCGATTTTAGTAAAATACTGATTTTTCCTAATTTTTCTCCAAAAGTAACATCGAGTATTTCTTTTTCTGTGTTGGTGTTGTGTACTCAGGTGAATAATATGATGCTTGTGATGTTACTCTGAGTGTATATCCACACCGGGCGAGCTTGAAAAATATGCCCGGCCACGGTGGGAATCGAACCTACGACCTTTGGAATACTAGCCCAATGCTCTGCCAACTGAGCTACGCGGTCAGGACGGTTCGATTAAGTGATATTTCGGAACAGAATCTAGTTCCTTCGATACCAATGTAATCTAGTAATATGATATTTTTCTGTGTTGGTGTAATGTACTCAGGTGAATAATATGATGCTTGTGATGTTACTCTGAGTGTATATCCACACCGGGCGAGCTTGGAAATATGCCCGGCCACGGTGGGAATCGAATCTACGAGTATTTCGGTTTTCAAAAAACATCGGGTTTTTTCCAGTTTACCGAAAAACTGCCTCACCCTAGATGCAACTACCTGAAAAATACGAGGAGAAATTCGATGTTTTTAAGCAAAGGCCCTTCATCAGCAGGTTAATGGCCAACGAAGGGCCTTTGCTCGAAAAGTTGAATTTCTACCAACTGAAGTTTTGTGATTATTGGCACAGACTGTTGTATAACATTATCTTGGAGGACTTAATGTTAGGGGTGCACTGGAACTATTTTTTTAAGTTCTGACCGCAACCGGATCTGGCCGGAACTGGAAATAAGTTCTGGACAGAACCGGAACTGATTTATCAGGCCTTCAAATATCGGTCGGTCACGGACATTGTCCGACCCATTCGTGAAATTGTCCAACGTCGAGAGGAAACCACCGGACATTCTGTCCGACCTAAGTGAAACTGAGGTTTATTGTTTGTCCGACCTGAGTGTATTTGTGTCGACCTAACTGTAGCTTTGTCCAACGTAAATCAAAATGTACCTTAGTCCAGGACTAGAGGCTTGTATGTTAAATAGAGAATCAGAGTACTATTGTATAAAAGATGAACTGGAAATGTTGTTTTAACGTAGTCGAGCGCGGGGTGGCGAGCGAAATGGTGAAGTGGAAAACGGGCTTAAGTTGTCGAAGTTTCTTTTAATACTGCTGTTCTGGCAAGGAAGTTAATTTTGGAAAGAAAAAAATTATGAAAGAAACAAATTATTTAATATTTTCACAATATTTACCGTTCAGAATTAATACATTGTGCTGATATTATTAAGCCATTAATTACTTTGTCTACTGCCAGACAGGCAGACACTTCAAGTCATCAAGAAGAGAGCTCGCAAATGTTAGAATAAACTCGGTTCCAGCCGGAACTAACCCGCCAGAACCAAATTCCGGTGCACCCCTACTTGATGTGCATTTAATCCCTGGCAAACACTGCCAACGGTATCAACACGCAATGTATAGAATTTGTAAAGTGCGTATTTTCTCAACAATCAGTTTTATACAATCAGAAATTGACAGTCAGATAATTCTGCTGATTACACCATATTACTCTGAGTTAATGACTTGTGAATTGACTTAAACTTGCCAAAAATGGCTTGTACATGACTTGACTTGGACTTGCAAAATAAGGCTTATTTTAAAACAACTCTAGCTTTCCTTTGGCCCCATGGCAGCACTTCCCTTAGCCCTTAGGATAAAATTATGTCTTAATATTTTTCTTTGAACATTATAGGCTACCATATCAAGCGATTTTCGGCGGTGCTGGTGCATTCCGAAAAGAAGATTTTGAGAAAATAAATGGATTTTCCAACCAATTCTGGGGTTGGGGTGGCGAAGATGATGATCTTTATAGAAGGTACAGTTTAAGGAGCAAATAGTTTGAAATATAAGCTTCTGTGGTTAACGTTTGTGTCCTAAGTACATGAAAAACATGTTAAAAGCCTTTGCGTTTCAAACAAAAGGCCTTCAATGTAAACTTTGTGACGAAGGACCTTTGCTCAAAAGGCCCAAACCTAGGTAGTTTAAACAAAAACCTTGGAACCTTACTGCGGAGTGCAAAATATACTACTTGCCCTAGACCCCACGTTTGAGATATCTTTTTCAGGTAGTTCAGACACAAACCACGACAGCTTAATGTAGAATACTACCTACACTGGTCCACCACATTTGAGAGATCGTTTTCAGGTAGTTCAGACACAAACCACGACAGCTTAATGTAGAATACTATACATACCTCCACTGGACAACCACATTTGAGAGATCGTTTTCAGGTAGTTCAGACACAAACCACGACAGCTTAATGTAGAATACTACCTACACTGGACCACCACGTTTGAGATATCTTTTTCAGGTAGTTCAGACACAAACCACGACAGCTTAATGTAGAATACTATACATACCTACACTGGACAACCACATTTGAGAGATCGTTTTCAGGTAGTTCAGACACAAACCACAGCAGGTGCTATAGAATATCACCTACCCCTTGTAACAGTCCTACTGTCATACAGTTTTAAGCTCAATATTTCATCTATTAGGATAACCGCGAAAGGATTTAAACTAACTCGACCAGGCATGGCGGTTGGAAGGTACAAAATGATTAGAATATTTCACCAGAGCGCCAAGGCTGATCCTTTGAGGTAAGTTTAAACAGTGTATATAGTTTTTGCAATCCAATTTATATTTTCTGCATGATAATGTAAGCGCAGAATGGAACAAAGGTAAGGCCAAAAAAAATATGTGGGTTTCCGGTTTCCCGACCCTACCTAGCTTTTGGACGTCGAAATTCCGACCCTAAACTTTTTTATTGGATCATGCTTGTAAGTGTTTCCACTTAGAGGAAAAAGTTTGTGGAAAATTGAAATTTGAGGCAATATTAGGGAAATTTATCTTTGGAAGTGGAAGCACTGACTAAACAAAATGGCGTCGGCTTGTTCGGAAAATTAAAAAAAAAGTTTAAAAAAAAAAGTTAAAACCGACCTACCCTACCTAAGTTTTTATACGAAGAAACCGGAAACCCACATATTTTTTTTTTGGCCTAACCAAATTAAATTATGAAACTAAACTAAAACATGTTTTGGCTAATTTTCATGCTACTTTTTTTTACAGCTCTCTTATCTCATTTATATTCTCATCGACTCTTGTGCACTCTTATCAAATTTAAACTGGTTCAAATTTTGATGACAGTTGATTAGAGTTGACTAGAGTTTTAGTTGCATGTTTGACTGTTAATATCCAGTCAACTCCTATGTGCAACTCTTGTTCTCGTTTGACTGCGAAAACTTTTGACTAATACACTCATGGACACTCAAAATATTCAAATTTATAAGCGAATTTACCTTTTGAGTAAAGTAAGCTAGTCTGTACTCAAAATAGAACTGCTCGAATTATTATGAATATGAGAGCATTAATGAGCAGTCCACTCCAAGTCTTAGAGAAAAATTTATAAAAAATAAAGATCTTAATAGAGAATATAATCTTCGAAGTAATGATACTAATCTAGCACTTCCAAAACCTAAAACAAACTGTCTTAAACGAAGTTTTAAGTGTAGTGGTGCTGTGGAATAGTCTTCCTTCTGAGGCGAGAAAGGCATATACTATATATTATATATATTATATTAGACATATTATATATATAATACTATATATCTTATATAATTTTGTAAATACTAAATAGCTTTTAAAATTCTTTATATGTATATACTTTTGTACACATGCACCTCTCGTGGAAATCAGCTTCGGTTGACGGGGTCAGCGTGTTTAAATAACGTTTTCTATCTATCTACAGTATATCTCTATGAGAGTTGGCTGGATATTACCGCGCAATAGCTAAAACTCGTCAACTCGCATTAAAATTTGAACCAGTTCAGAGTTGATGAGAGAACACGAGAGTCAATGAGAGTTGGCGCAACTCTCACCAACTGTTACCCTCGTCTGACCAGATATTGACCTGATATATTGTCCTTTTCTAGATTCCAAAAACTTAAGGATTCCCAACAACGAATGGTCACTGACGGACTCAACTCTCTGAAGTATAGAGTAGAAAGTGTGATTGAAAGACCTCTGTACACGAAAGTCACAGTCGATATTAACCCCTTGGGTCTGTAGAATTTGAAGAACGTATTTTAACAGTCGATATTCAGCAAATATTGGGCGGTGTGGTATAGCAGAATTTTTTAAATATACTATTCACATATATATAGATTGTCCTGAAAAAATGCAAGTTCCAAATGTTCCAAATTAAACAGCCAACACCAAAGTAAGGGGTCATTAGACCTGTTGTAAAAATCTCACAACTTTTCAACAAGATGTGCTCGTGTAGCAAGCCTGTCAACAAGTTGTAACAATGTTGTTATTTTATCAAGTTGCTACAGGGTTGTCACTCGCAACTTGTTATTAAGTTGTTGAATTGCAGGACGATAACAAGTTGTTGGAACAACTTGTAACAAGTCTGTTGAATCGGCATGCAACCTTGTAGCAAGTTGTCAACAAGCTGGGAACAAGCAGTGCGAACACATCCTTTTGACAAGTTGTTGGAACAGCATTGCTACAAGTCTGCTGCAGGTTTGTTACAACTTGTGTGTAGGGACGGTGTGTACTAGACCAATTTTATTAATCTTAGTATCACAATCCATCTCTTAGATTAAATTTTCCATGCCAACCAATAAGTAACTGTTTAAAAATCTAGAACGGTATTTCGGATCACCCTGCAGTATGGTCAGTTCAACTTGTAAATATCTACCTATAAAATGATCATGTTGGTTGGCTTTCTCAGATGGCTAGCTTTGCTGATTAATTTAAACATGTAACCATAACTGATCAATCGCGAAGCGTGGTCAAGAGTTTATATAGTTGCGGTGCCATGGGCGTATAACATATTATTTTATTATGATTTTTTTTTTTCTGTGTTGGTGTAGTGTACTCAGGTGAATATGATATTTGTGGTGTTACTCTGAGTGCACATCCACACCGGGCGAGCTTGAAAAATGTGCCCGGCCACGGTGGGATTCGAACCCACGACCTTTGGAATACTAGCCCAATGCTCTGCCAACTGAGCTACGTGGTCAGGACGGTTGGAGTAAGTGATATTTCGGAACAGAATCTAGTTCCTTCGATACCAATGTATTCTAGTAATATGAATTTTTTTTCTGTGTTGGTGTAGTGTACTCAGGTGAATATGATATTTGTGGTGTTACTCTGAGTGCACATCCACACCGGGCGAGCTTGAAAAATATGCCCGGCCACGGTGGGGTTCGAACCTACGACCTTTGGAATACTAGCCCAATGCTCTTCCAACTGAGCTATGTGGTCAGGACGGTTCGAGTAAGTGATATTTCGGAACAGTATCTAGTTCCTTCAATACCAAT